GTTCCATTCCACATTATTACAAATAACTTCATTTCTGAACATTTATGTTGATTTCTTTGTATGTATGGATCACTTGGGTTGTTACCGATGTCTGGTGAAAATTTCATGTCATTAGCACCTCTAGTAATATATTTACTGAGAAAAATGGTGACGTGTTCAATACTTATTTTACCCGCTGTATCATTAAAGACAGCTGTTTTAAATTGTCACCTGTATAAATGACTCCTGTCCACAGACTCAGTCAGTCAGACTCTAACCTCTACAACATGGGCAGGACCAAAGAGCTGTCTAAGGATGTCAGGGACAAGATCATAGACCTGCACAAGGCTGGAATAGGCTACAAAACCATAAAGATGCTGGGTGAGAAGGAGACAACTGTTAGTGTAATAGTAAAAAAATGGCGAAGATTGCATCTGTCAAAAGAGAAAAATAAAAATATAAGAAAAAATAACTTTCTGCAGTGGTGGGCAGCGCTAATTCAAAAGTTAGTTAAATTAATTAATCCCACAAGTTCTAAAGCACACYTGCCCACATGTAAAGGACAAAGTAAAGGAAACCGTGTTCACTTCAAAATAAGAGCATGAATTCAAACCGTGACGTGTGTAGCTTCAATACAGCGTGAGACAGCAGGCTGGTGGTTGAAAATGCAGCGTGTCATAAATTATTATAATTTCTCCCTCTACCCTCTCAAAGCTCATATAAGTATATAAACAACAGTAATTATGGCTGGATTGTGTTTGTTTTTCACTCAACTAGCAGTGTTGTTGGGAAAACCTTTATTTTTCTGTTAACGGTGGTTCTAGAATAAAAACATGTGAACATCAGGTGATGCTCAAAAGGATTGAACCAGCTGCTGATCTACTGGCAGCATCTTTTTTTTTATCCGGCTGATGTCAAATGCGTAAGTGTGCTGCTTCTAACTGTGGTGTGACACTTGTGCCATCGGCTTGCACACGCGGTAACARTGATTTGAGAGCAGATATCAATACGAACAAACAATAATTTGAACCGTTCACTCAAATAACACACGCTCACACAGCTCCCTCCCTGCTTTTCCTCGACTTCTTCCCTCCCTCCTCTCATGTTTGTGTCTGTTCTCACTGTTAAAATTAACCTACCCTTAAAGTTATAGACTGTTTGCATCTTTGTAAGTGGGCAAACTTGCAAAATCAGTAAGGGATCAAATACTTATTTCCCCCACTGTAGGTCGTTCTAATTATTATTGTGTAAGTTACATAAAATAACTGATTATGTATTTGTTTGTTCAAGGGGTAATACACTGTGTTATGGAATATTTTCTCTATCAGTCCTTGTGACTTTGAATTGTGAGCCAAAAGACGATGGTAGGTGTAACACTAAAACGTATTTAGCCTTAGTTTATGAAAATTATCTAAAGGTTTTCAAGCCTGATTTAAATACAGATGATTCTTGAAGTGAAACAAAATAATTTGAAAAGTTTGTACAGTTTTGCTCTGTCAGATAGATGTACCTGTTAGGGCTCCTCTGTTGAGCTTCAAGGTCAGTGCTGGTGGCTTTTTTGCGGTAGAGGAAGCCTTCATTTTGAGCAGTGTGAGAAGGTGGCTGGGGCGTTGTTGGGGCTCCAGTAGCTGGGGCTGAGCGAGAACGTCGAGTTCCTTCAGACTCTTTTGGACGGGGACGCCTCCTTGGTTTAGGACGATCTCGAGCACGAGGTCGTCCATCAGAACGAGTCACGGGTGCTGAGAGACTGCTAGGAGGTCGATAAGGCTCCCCACGTGCCTAACAAGGTCAATTAAGACAAAAGYAAATGTTCGATTAATCAGTGATGACACATGAACATCACAGGGAGATAATGTATGTGTCTCACATGTGCTGCCTCTCTCTCCTGGACCTGTTCTACAATCTCTGCCATGGTGGATCTCTTCTCCCTGTAGGGACAACAAAAGTAAGTCACCCAAACAGCTAACACCGTTATTGAACCTTTAAAAAAATGCTACGGTGCTCAGTAGACTTAGTTTCAAAACTAAATATTTTTGGACAATCAGCAGTAATACTTGACATACCCTGCACGTTTYTCAGAGCCATCCTTTACAGAGCCCTCCAGGTCACTTGAGTCCTGTCTTTGTAACCTCTGCTTGTTGCTCCCCTCTTGTTCACTGGATGACTGCCTCTCCAAGCGCCTTCGGTAACGCTCCTGCCGCACTATCAGCGGCAGCTCATTCAGCCTGGCTTGGATTTCCTGTTCACTGGAGGTCTGTCTTCCCAGTTTGTATTCTCGCTCTCGTCTCAAATGGTCCATCTGCGGATCAGAGCGACTGCCACGAGGATCCCTCTGGAGACGGCCATGAAGAAGTTCCAGTCCTGACTCTGGCCCCATCATGTCTGCCATTGGGATATCCCCAAACTGTTCTCGCTGCAGTCTGCTGGCTTCTAGAAGAGGGTTTATAGCTTTGTGTATATGATTAATCCTAGGTTGCATGAAGTCAGCTTTCAAGTGCTGCCATGCATATGCCATTTTAGGGTCCATGATACCTCCACTCTGCACCAAGTAACCAGAGCTGCCCAGACTTCCACTGCTGTAATGATTTTGTGCCAAATAGCTTGAACTTCCTAATCCACCACTACCCTGATAATTTTGTGCCAGGTATCCAGAGCTCCCCATATTAGGCTGTTGTGCCAAATACCCAGAACTTCCCATATTAGGCTGTTGTGCCAAATACCCAGAGCTTCCCATGTTAGGTTGTTGTGCCAGATACCCAGAACTTCCCATGTAAGGCTGTTGCGCCAAATACCCAGCGCTTCCCATATTAGGGTGCTGTCCCACATGTCCCGAACTTCCCAAACTTTGTGGTTGTGCCAAATAACCAGAACTACCCATATTTTGTTGAGGCAGAAAGCCAGGACTTCCCAGACCGCCACCGCTTGGCTGTTGAGCAATGTTACCTGAACTTCCTAACTTGCCACCAGCTAGATGGTTTTGCATACCACCTGCAAATCCTGTGGTCACTCCATAGTATCCAGAGCTCTCTGCACTWCCAGCAGTTTGATGATTTATTCCATGGTAAGTAGATATGTCTGCTCCACCACTCTGGGATACAGAGAAACCAGAGTCATTTCCAGCTCCAGTGGTCTGTCGGTTCATTCCAAGGTATGTGGTGTTTTTCAACTTCCCTGTGGCCTGTTGATCCAGTCCGTGATAGCCTGATCCATTTAAAACTGTGTTATAGCTAGCTAGTGATGAAGATAAATGCTGAGTTGAGCAGGCACCCAAATCCAAACTGGCTTTTACAGACTTGGGTTCTTTATGAACTGGTATAGACTGCCTCAGGAAAGAGGTGGTAGCACTGCTGGAGGGAACACTGGGAGTCAGACAAGATAATGGGAACATTCTTTGACTAGAGAGTGGAGTTGTCTTTTTATCCTCCTCTTGTTTCTTCTCAGCCTATAAAAACAGTTATAAACATTTGTAGATCAACATAAATCAAAATAAAATTTCTARGAGGCGATGGTCCGATATAGTAGTAATATAACAAATTAGATAATTAAAGAACACAGTTTGTCCCTTTAAATAATAAGAATTACAGGAAAAGCAAATCGAGGCTATCCCACATGCATTTTTCACAAGTCTGACTTAAGCTAAACATTATGTGAATGGTGGCATTCGCAGATGTCTGCTAAGCAAACAACATTCCATGGTCACATTTTTTTTCTAAAGCAGCATTCAATCGTGACTCCATCACACCGATTGAACATTTGTTTCCATTAAAGCTTACTGCGGAAAGCTGGCGAAGGGAGCTGAAGCGTTCTTTCCACGTTACAGCAGCTTTGCGAAAGGCTTCATGGCGAAGTATGAGCTGCTCAACCTCATCAGTTTGGGCATGGGCCTCTTCTCCCTCTCGCTTGGGCAAGATCAGTGGCTCCTTCGTTTTAAGCCAAGCCTCTGCCTTTACTGTCGCCTGYGCAAACTGGAATGTTTCTTGTTCTGAAAGAGACAGTACACACATAGCATGCTTACCATCACAGCAGATTTGATTATACTATTCAGCAGAGTTCTCCCGGTGCATAATCGGTGAGTCGATTTRGCGTAGAAGAGGTTCTGCCATGCTCGGCCCTTGTTTTGCAGAACCACGATAATGAACCTTCAGCTGATCTGCTGCAGAGAGGACTTCTTATCTACAGATTYTTAACAGCAGACACAAATTGTTCCTGCTAGACCCACATATAGGCTACAGTAAATGTCTGACTGTCTCTCAGTCCAGCAGAGAGATGTGTGGTGCTGTGGCTTCAGCTCGTCGTTCCTCTGTGGAACAGCACCTGTCAATCACCAGGGSAGCAACGCGTGAGGGTGGCTTAAAAGTGCAAGCCCATCCCCAAAATTTGGAGACCTCACCAGTTTTATCTTTGCTTTGTGCTCATTTTAATTCCCCCTACTTATTTAAGTTTAGTAAAACCATTCAAATATTAAAATGTTTTTGAAAAAACATAATAGTTAAAAAAAACTTCAAACAACACAAACTTCAAATAGTACCTCTAAGTAAAGACAACCAGAATAAAACAAGTGTCTAAAAGTATTGTATTTTTTTGCATTTTTATTCACTTATTTATTTAATTTTTATAAATAAATACCCTTTCCCAGCCCATGTCATCTGAAATGTCAATGTCACTTTATTTATATAGCACATAAAAAACAACAAAAGTTGGCCAAAGTGCTTCACAATTCAGCCAAATGAATAAAACAACAGAGCAACACATAAATGTAGACAATAAAATCAATTTCAAATACAAAAAAAACATTAAAAACTTTATCTTTAAAATAATATCAAACTCTACCAGAATGAAAGGCCAGGGAGTAAAAATGAGTTTTAAGCAGAGATTTAAAAGTCTCAACAGTCTCAGCAGTCCGTATGCTAAGAGGTGAATCATTCCAAAGGTTTGGTGCGGAAACTGCAAAGACCCGATCACCTCTAAACTTTAGTCTGGATCCAGGACCATCTAAGAGGAACTGGTTGGATGATCGAAGTGCTCTAACTGAASTGTGGATGTTAATGAGATCACACAGGTAGGATGGGGCCAGACCTTTTAAAGCTTTAAAAGTAAGCAATAAAATCTTAAAACTGATCCTAAAATGAACAGGAAGCCAATGGAGAGAAGCCAGAACCAGGGATATGTGTTCGTATTTTTTAGTTCCTGTTAAAAGACGAGCTGCTGCGTTCTGGACAACTTGTAATCGATGCAGAGAAGGTTGATCTAAACCAACAAAGAATTACAATAATCCAAATGAGATGTAATGAGAGCATGAATCACTTTCTCAATGCCTTTGTTTGAGAGGTATGGCTTCACCTTACAGTAGCAATAAGTCTTAGTTGGAAAAAACTCGATTTGAAGAGGGCGTGTCTGGACATACAAAAATGCTTATAACTCAAAAAGTTTTCAACATAGGTGTTTCAGATTAATTTTATTTTATTTATTTATTTTTTAATTTGATGTTTTTGGTTTAACTCTGATGAGGGGCTATCATTGGGTCCACCAGTGAGTACCCACCCCCAAAGATCCACACCTAAAGCAATAAAAATTTGGGATGCACCTAGCAGCATGAAATTTGGTAGGAATTGAGACCTCTGAGTTCTGATACATTGGTGCKTGCGGGGGCCATTATGTTACCACTCTAGTTATTATTGTTGTTATTATTGGGAGTCCAAGCCAGCCGAGAAGGGGAAAACAGCTGCAAAGCAGCAGCGTTTCCATCCATCCAGTGGAGCATGGAACCCAACTGTATCTGTTCTGGTTTTTAATATAATTTTTTTATTTTCATCAGAAAAACTCGTACTGCAGTCCAAACCCCAGGGACTACAGAAAAAATTGTAACATGGTAGTTAAAAAAATGTAACAGTTCAGAGGAGAAAAATAATCAGACATGTCAACCTACAGGGGGTGCTATAATCAATGTCTTTGCATTTGGTCCTCTGGCTTCCAAACCATAATTCACAACTTTTTTGATTTATAGCAACATAATTCCATGACACCACTGAGTCACATGGTATAAGCCACGCCCATTTCTGCCTAAAATGTCTTTTTCTACAGTGAAAAATCTGCTAAACTTATTTTTAGTTTTTATTTAAAYGTTTAAGGTTTAAAGTTCAATTGGGCCGGCTGTGGTGGAGTGGTTAGGGTAGTCGTCCCAGACCCGCAAAYTCACRYATTRGATCCCTTGCTCCAGCTCTCTCAGTTGTTTTGTACTTTGGCAAGACACTTCACCCACATTGCCTGCTGTTGGTGGTCAGAGAGTCTGGTGGTGCTGGTGCATATATGCCCTACCTCTGTCTATGGCTGTGTCTCAATTCATAGGTTGCAGCTAACATAGACCGTGCCCGACGTCGGCTGTAGCGTGCTTGTATTCCTAAACAAATGCAGCTCTCTCCTGGAGGAAATTTGCTGTCAGTCAATTCAAGAGTTAATCCATGGGCAGAATTCTGCTGACGTCAAAATCATAAGCGTGCTGTACTCGCTTCTACCTGAACCACTCAAGAGAGAAGGTTCTGAGACAGCGCGGCTGTAGAGCGCGCTTGGAGAGGCACATTGGGCCGAGACCGAGCCAAATCGAACCGCGTACAAGAGGGTCTGTGGAGATTGTGTGCCCAGGCTGTCACTGTTAACAGTGAACCAGAGGGCGCAAATTAACAGCCTTCTTTGAGGAACCGAAATAAGGCACCGAAGTTAGAGTTGTGTTTCGGTCTGTGTACTACCGTTGATGTTCACCCCGGTGCCATACCGGAACTGAGTTTCAGTACCCAACCCTAGTCGCAAATCAGATCAGGGTGTCAAAAAGACGCCCCGATGCCCCTCTAGCTAAATGCCTGTTTTTTAGGCTGCCTTGGCAGTTTTGATTCCGCTTCTCAGGTATACTTGTTGGGACTCTCATCAGTTCTTTTAGTTCTCCACCAGATGGCACCAGGGAGCACAGCTGGCAAAGGTTAAGAGGAGTCTGCTGCCAGTCCTTTGACCCCAGAGTGTTAACCTTCAGTGGTAACGAGCTCTCCAAGCTTTTTTTAAACTAATTTTGATCACCTTTAAACCTAGGCTTACCTTGTTCTTTATTTCAGCCCAGATAAGACTCAGTCTCCTAGAAATCTCCATATCTGTCCCAGATCTCATCAGCCCTCAAATGGCAGCTTTGGGCTCCATTTTCAGCTCCTTCAGTGGCCGCTTTGCTTTGCTTTGCTTCAATTCAATTCAATTCAATTCAATTCA